CTTTCCTCCACTACATGTATCTGACTGTTGTAGCTCCTGGAGGGAAAAAGCCTTTTTACAACAATATTAATTATGAGGAGAACACAGGAGTCAGGAGTTGTGTGGAAAGGTGGGGCAGCTGTAACACAAGAAAATCCCTGTTCATCTCCCACTTGGGAAAAGGCCCAACATTTTATTAGCTTGATCACAATAACTTCAGAATCTTAACTATTTGATAACTATTGCAACCATGACAACGAAGATCACAGGAGATCACTGCTCATTCCCCATTTCCTCCAAGAATTTATAGCATAAAAAAAAAAACTAATGAACACTTGAACATGCATCAATGCGATATGAACCACCTGGAAAAAAATATTATTCTTACTGTTGTCTGGGCCCCAGTGTCACATTTCCGATGTCTATGAGTTGTTATTAGTAAGAGATGAGTAATTTTCCCTTTAACTTCCCCGCATGGTGTCATTTAAAGAAGTGTGTGAAGTTAAAGAAGTCCCACTTCAACCACTGCAGACTTCTCCCTCTGCACTTCTTTTGCTATGGCCTCAAGTTTTAAAATGTTAACATGAATTTCCAGCTCTGTGTTGGCTCCCTGCCCCAAGCTTCAGCTCCCACGGGTGAAAAGGAAAAATGTATTAAATCGCAAATCTGTTTCCTTGCACCGAGCTCTGCATCCACACACACACACACACACAAGCTGTTGTGGGCTGGCATGTATCTTTGGGCCTTGTCATCACATGCTCCGACTGAGCTCTAAATGTCACTTGTCTCTCTCCGCTTCATCTGCCTGACTCATCCTCCTTGTCTTCACTCTACATTTGAATTTTTTGTGTGTGTGTGTGATGGACACATCGCTGCTCTCCACCTTCCTTTGTACGGCGCCTGCACAACGATGCCCACTGCATTGATTTTCTTGTGCCATTTCATAATTATGTCTCCTCTCTTTTTATTCGTCCGCTCCCTCTCTCTCGCTCTCTCTCTCTCTCTCTTTTATCCTGTCTCTCTTATCTCCCTCCTCTCTCTTCTATTTTTCTAATTCCATCCCCCTGATCCATTTTTATGCCTCACTGTGCCCATGCTTGTTATCTCGGCCTTTTCTCTCTTTTTTTTTTTTTTTTTTTTTTCTTCAGAATTCTGTCCATTTCCTGTCGCTTTATCGTATTTTTTTGTGATTTCTTTCCCCCCTAATTGCGTTCTTTTTTTTTTTTTTTTGCTGTTTGATCTCAACTTCTTAATTTCCTCTCAGTTTCGTTTTGCACCCTCTCCCCCACTCTCGCCGCGCTGGTCGTCATCGCGTTACTTTTTCTTCTTCTGTTTTCCTCATATTTTTCTCTTTATGGCCATTTGTGAGTTTTTCTCAGCCTCTTCCTCGATCCTCCATTTGCCTCACACTCCACCCCAACTCTTGCTTCTATTATTTTCTCGTTAACTTCTTCCAATCTTTTGTCTTTTATTTTTTGCAGCCTCTCTGGAGTGCACTCCATCTTCACCGTAGCCTGACGGAGCAGAAGGACGCAGCCGCCCACCACCTTGCAAACATCTTCCCAGTATGTGAACCCCAGACTTCTTCCTGGACCAAGCACAGCTCTCCGCCTCACACACCTTTCCTCTCTGCCCTCGGTGTCTTGATCTGGAAAAGTACCCATGCCTCTTTTCTTCCCAGCCACTCTTGAGAAGCTCCCACGAGTTCTGACTCGCTGTTTCCTCGACAACTCCTCTCAGATTCCTGGAGTCCGACCAATAGTTTCCATTGCAGGAGTCTCATCTCCAGGCATTTGTGACCTTTGCAGCCAAACCTCCACCAGACCTCTCACGCTACAACTCCTACACTCCTCTCACACGTCCCTTTACTCCCCTCTCCCATGCCAAAAGCCGAGCCCCAGCGAACCACCAATCTACCCAGAATCCAACATTTGCTTGGCTGGGTTTCCTGAAAGCATTTAAACACAACGATGCCATTGCCTTGCGGTTGGACGATAGTTTTTAGGGAACTCCCAAAGAAAAACCCCAACTCTTACAGTTACAATATAATCCATAGTCTTTTGGTCTGTTTGTGGCATGTTAGCTCCTTCAACGTAGCACTTTAATGTGTGTTTTCTGCCATGAGTACTCTTGTGGTGCACTGCTGAGTCTGGTTCTGCCCAACTAAGGACCTGACACAAGACTGCTACTCTACGCCTCTCCTTCCCTTTCTCCTCCTCATTATCTCTTCACAGACTCGACTGCAACAACCAGAGGAGGGTGACACAGTTTACACAACCATGCGTGTGTTTTTGTGCTTGTTCTCTTCTTCAGTCTGTTCATAGACCCTGTAAACAGTGTCCGACAACAGCCTGGTGAAGTATCCGTGTCTCTTACCCTCTCCATATTGTGAGTCTCAGTAACCCTGAGAGAACTTTATTGTGAAACATTTAGCAGGGGGGGGGATAAACACTGAACCTGGCATCACATTAGGTACGGTTACGTTGGCTCCGCGAAATAGACATTGTTGTGAAAAGCAATCTGAAGGAGATGAAGCAGAACCTGGGGATGAACCGCGAGAGGGAAATTCCCTCGATGTCTCTAAAAGCACTGAGCTGGTAGGTAAACTGATTTGGCGAAGCCCAAAAGGGAGGTGGCTGACAGAGGACAAGAAAGGAGCAGGAAAAGCAAAAGGGCTCCGTGAACTAAGAGATGACATGACTTGAAATTCTTTACTGCTAAAGAGAGGAGGAGCAAGATGAGGAAAAGACATCACGGATGACAAAAATAATTTTCATTTCCTCCTCTCTGTATTTCTACTGCTTTGTCTTTTTTCTGTCTCGCTGCTTGAAACTATTTTTAGATGTATATATTGAAAGTTGTGTAGAGAGGAGACGTGCTGTGCTCATCATGGAAATGTTGTTCGTCAGTCTGTGAGGACGATAATCTCTGCTGTCAATGTGAATTATGGCCACTCACTGTTATATATTATTATAGGTATTTTAACTGCACTTAAAAAGCACATGTGTCTGTCATGAAACAAAACAGCTGTTACTCAGATCATTGTCATCTTCTCCACTGTTTGTCCATGAGTGTAAATACATTGTCAAATCACGTAGCCAGTGTAATGACCTCTAAATATCAGCTGCTGATTTCCGTGTGCTGGAGTGATATTTATCAGAAGCTCGCATCCACGCTAGCGTAGCATGAGCTGTTGTCACGGTAACAACATCTTTCCTTCCCCCGGATGAGAGTTGGCAATCGGAGGAACATAGAATAGCTGCTGTGGTCAGAGGTGAGAGAATAAAAAGGGGGTCACCACCAGCCCCTGAGAGCCATCGCGTTTTAATTGGATTCCATTTGTATACGGCTCCCTGTGTGTGCGGCCATTCATTGTTTGGATAGCGGCTGAAGCCTAATGCGGCAAAGAGCAGATTGAATACTATTGATCAGTATTTCAGGACGTACAATCAGTCCTCATGGATTACAAAAGCCTCAAGGACTGTGTGCACGCGCACTCACGCACGCTTACAGTCACATAGGAATGGAGCTGTTCGAGCTAAAACACAAGTGGCTATTTCACGGTTGGGTGGAGATGTCGTGTCCATGTCTGTCAAGGCCACCGGAGGAAGGAGAGGCTCGATGCTTCCGTTAAGTTTGGAATTTCTCCACTTCTCAATTTCCCATTGGAAAATGTCGACAACTGAGCTCGAAGAAATGGTTTCCAGGACTTAGAGGCTGCCAAGTGTGAAACCCAGTGCAATTAATGCAAATGACTGCTGAAATATAACCATTTTTATCATTATAATACATTAAATATGATATTGTTCAGAAACCATAGGCAATTAGCTTCTTATTGGCATAAAACAAATAGTTCAGTGTTTTTTTTTTTGCAAAGAAGTGGATGAAAAGACAGATTCCACCGATGTATCTGCAGCTGAATATGAAGCAAACTAATTTACAAGCTAATATACAGTATATTAGCTTGTATTAGCTTAGCATAAAAACTGGAACCTGAAGAATATGTAATATACCTATATCACCACTGAATCTGACGAACCACGAGACCATGTTACAAAGAAATAAGATTTGGTATGTTAGTAAGTTAGCTTTAACGTGATAGAAGGTTGCTACTCTGAGCTAGCTTGCATGTTTATGCTAGGCTAAACAAACAGACATATTTCCCAAAATTGCAGACTGTTTTTTTGAAATCTAATCTTCTGCTTGGATATGGTCTGAAACATGTGCTCTGCCTGATAAAGCCAAGATCCCAAAACCTGCTGCGCAAAAATCTAACGATCTATTAATCGCTTCAGTAGAGTTTCATCACATCTGTGATGGTAGCCATGGAGAGTAACGACTCTTAGTTCAAGTTCTTTGTTTGTATCTGAATTTCTTTTCTATTTTAGGTCAAGACCAAAAAGTTGGTTGCAGACTCTCCGCCCCCACACGTATAATTCCGGTCAAAATTATTTCCACCCCTGAAGAACAAAATTCAGAATATCTTCAGAAATAAATGCAAATTGACCAACTTTGTGTAATCAGACTGTCCAAGGTTACTGAACAAAGGAAAGTAGACTTGCATAAAAACAGAAATAATACGAAACAAAATGAATCCTGGGCCCAGTTATCATCCAGCCTGTAAGCATTTCGCAGTCTCAAGGCTTCTTGTACCTGTCTGCTTTCACCATAGGAATCCTTTTTGCAATGGTAGATTTCACCTCTGTAGGTTTTCAATGGGATTTAGGTCAAGTGTAGTTCCTTGCCAGTCCAATCTTTTCCTTGACAGCCAGTATTTTCACCTGCTGTGTGCTGTTTGGATCCTTGTCCAGCTGAAAAACCAAAAAGCCCAATACCTTTGCTTCAAAATGGTTTTGCGAAACACATTTGGCTCTAAAATGCCTTAGTAACCTGATTTTATAATTCCTTCAACACTCAATCCCTCCAGCACCAGAGGCAAGAAAGCAGCCCCACAGCATGATTGAACCTCCTCTATGTTTTATTGTAGGTTGGGTGTTCTTTTCCTGAAGGGTTTCATTTCATCATCTTTACGCTGACCGGTGCATGGCATCCCCAAGAGCTCTACTTCGGTTTCAGCTGTCCATAGAACATAATCCGTGAAAAACAGTTTTTGTGATGATTGGTCCTACCTTTCTATGCCTTTCTTTCAATAGTGGTGTCTTTCTTGGCCTTTATCCCTGGAGCCCTGCTTGGTTTAGTGTGCAGCATATGATACGAGCAGAATCCACCAGCCCTGGTCGCTCCAGAACAGCCTGAGTCTTTAGATGTCTTGTGTCGTGTTTTCACATCAACTTTCGCAGACTTATCTCCTCGTGTTCCTCGTTAGCTCAACGTCAACGAAGCATCTTAACAGATTTATGACTGTGGAAGTTTTTGCCAACGATACATATTGTTGAAAAAGGGTTTTCAATATCCTTTGTGATGAACTTGTCCATATCTATAATCGTCACATAATGTAAATGATTAAATTCCTGTCCACCCCCAACCCCTGCTGTTGCCTCTGTGTGGATGCGGAGCGACTGAGGTAGTGGCTGGATCCGGGTCTTGTCCTCCGTTATACAGACTCAGTCGTCTGCAGCCCTCATATATAATGTATAGACTAATATTCACCAAGCAAACCCAAACACCCTGATAATTGTGGGTGTATGTCATCTCCATTGTTGTCGGGCTCTCTCACGGTCGCAGTGCATATTGGTCCAGTGAGGTTAGGATTAGAGTCAGTCAAGTTCAGGTTAGAGTAAATCAGGTTGGGGATAGAGTTACTCGGGTTATGGTTAGAGCTAGTCAGGTTGGGATTAGAGTTAGTCAGGTTTGGGATTAGAGCTAGTCAGGTTGGGATTAGAGTTAGTCAGGTTTGGGATTAGAGCTAGTCAGGTTGGGATTAGAGTTAGTCAGGTTGGGATTAGAGTTAGTCAGGTTTGGGACAGGAACAAAGGGTTAGGGTTGAACAAATCTCCCTTTAATGACAGTAAGCTTTGACTTAAAATAGAGGAAAGAGAGAGCCAGGTAATGCAGAGCACACAAAGTAAAAAGATAAAGAAAGTAACAGATCTGAATCTCACCTCAGTACTGAATGAATGATGTTGAAATGTCAAAAGCTGGACCTACGTGATATTTAAAGACTGGAATCAGAGTCAGACAGGCAGCAGACAACCAGTGATTCTTCAATCAATGGAGGCAATGCAGTGTTTTCAAGTCCACTTATTTTCATTTGTTGCACTCAAGGCTCGTATGAAAAAAACTGGTGCACACAGACAATGGTCGACACTCCATGTCAGGTTTTTTGATAATGCCGTGGACACAGAGGCTTTACTCTCCCTTGGTTTTGTTGTAGGCAGGCAGTTTTATTTATAAATCATGTTTTATACACAGAGGAAGTTTCAAGGTGCTGAACATGCACATTCAAAATAACAGAGACACAATTTCAAATCTATTTAAAATCAAAAATCAGTTTTCAAGCAAAATAAAAGAGGTTAAAAGAGATTAGAATAAAAGTGGCTAAGAGACTAAAAGAGGTCAAAGAAATAAAAAGGATAAAAGCTGTATAAAAAATAGCAAGATGAAGAAGTATGCAAATGGAATAGATAGAAATGTGTAAAATCAAGGATACAATATAATAAATGTAAAATAAGTTGGAGTAAAGTAATAGAAAGTAAATAGATAGAAATTCCCCTTTATGCAGTAAAACCATTGACTATTCAGTCCATGTGAACTGATTCTGAAAATCAAGCAGAGGAGAGTTTTTATTTTCTGCAAAGAACTCATTTAAATCTATCCGAACAATCCCGATAATGTATGTATGTTTTATTCTGCTATAAAAAAAATCAATATGTTCAATAACTTTTAAAGTTCATTAAATATTCTGCTCTTACAACATCAGTTCATTTGAACCTATTTTCTGATTCAAAGAGGCTAAAGTTAATTTTTGTTTTAATTGTCCATATGTCAGGCTGCAGCACTACAACAGTGTAAAGGAATATTGATTCTCTCTTGTTACTCTCAGTATTTAGGCTCCATACTTTCAGGGAGAGAAGTCAGGGAAAAGATTTCCCTCCAGAGGAACGAGGGAAACTTTCCACGGTGTCCCCTGCTCAGATATCCAGATAGAACCAGCCTGAGATGTGGCAGCTGTGCCAAGGTGTCTGAGGACTTGCCTTAACTGGCTCAGCCGTGGTCTCCCAGTACCTGTTAAGAGGTTTGGCACGTACTCATAGACACTGACACACAATGCACTGTTACACAAGAGAATGCAGACTAAACCTCACACAACGTTGTCGGTTGCACAATAACTTTTTCTTTCACACGCTGGCACTCACGTAGAATGCACACAGGCCCAGACTGTGTGTGTAAAGTACAAATACACACGCACACACGGTGATACTCAATACACCCAGAAGAAATAAACACACTCCTTCCTCAACAAATTAGCAGTAAACACAGTCGGAGCTGTTAACACATTTCACATCAGTGATGAAGACATTAAAACAACACCTCGCACACAATCTAAACGGAAGACAAACAAATCGAGCCTTTTCTTTCCACCGCGCTGACGGTATGTTTTGATTTTCTTTAGTTCCGGGTGTTACAGGCATGCAGAGCAAGTCACTACTCCCAGTCTATCTACATATACGGTGCCTAAGGATGGATGTGAATGATGATGTCGATATCATGATGGGTACATATACATATATAATAAACATATTTATCTTCATGTAAAATGTGTTCTGTTTTTATTGGGATCTTTTCGCGTGGTGTGATTCTGTATTTGGGAGACTGAGGGCGCTTTCACACCTGGTTTAGACCTTTGGACTTTTCAGTTTAGTCTGAAACGAGGTAACAGGTGTGAAAGGTGCCTCGAACCTCGGTCCTGAACAACGAAACCAAAATTTTGCCCGACCAAAACAGGTGGTCCCGGTCCGGATCAAACTGAACCACGGTTTTGGATAGTTCAGACTTTCCAACCAATTGCAGAAACTTGAGACGGCATCAAATCGCCCATGATGCTCGCAGGATTTTTGCCTTGAAAATAAATGATTGTTTATTTGTTTATAAAGTTGAGTACTTCAATGAAGCTGGCGACACTAGCAGTATAAAACCACAGTGGCAACGAAATCAACTAAATGAACCGGTTTACTCCTTTTCTTCATTCAAATGAAAAACATCAAGCAGGCTTGATGCAGCTTGCATAGGTGACGACAGCAGTACTTGTGTAATACAAACGTCTTCGGTGCAAAATGAAACCAAAACTAATCAGATCAGCAAAGACATGAAACTTGGTTTGAACTTTCAGTTGTGAAAACGTGTGCCGTCACAGGTCAGGTGGCCTCTGTCGGGGCTGTGGTCCCTGCCGGAGACGCTGTAGGCCTGGATCACCTCACGTGACTGAGTATTTCAAAATACACAATACACATATACTCACATGGACATAAACACCCCTGTTTATTTTCCACTTTCTCAGCAGCAGCAGCAATTAGTGTCTGATCCGTTTCACGCCCTGAAAAACGTGTTTTCTCAATCAGCTCCTTAATCTCAGTCCTTCACACCCACGCAGTCGGGATTAAGAAGATTTGCAGAGTTTTGGTTTACAGACGCTCTAAATAACAACATTATTATATTGTAAGTAGAGAAATACTCTTTTTGCTTGTCTTAAAAGTTTTTAGCTGTGAAGAGTGAACTTTTAAAAGACCCATTATTACTGTCATATATCTAAAAGTGACAGAACAAAACTCAAAATTCACAAATATAAACTGGCAAAGTGGTTCATTTAAAATGTTTGTCACGTCTCCCTGTGTGCTTTTGCTTTGTTATTTTGCAGGTAGAGTTGTCTGGATTCGTATATATATTTTAGTTATCGGTGTATTCAATCATGCCTTTGTTTTAGGAGGGAGGCTGTTTCAGTATTTCGGTTTTTTCTTATTTCGAAAGTATCGATTTTTGGGGTAAATCAGCTTGTTTGCTTTAGGGCACAAACCACAGTTCTCCCAGCAGCGGCATAGACACTGAGCGTATAGTTGCAGCAGGAGTCAGAACGCACAGGAAACAACCAGCAGTGTCAGGAACACAGTGTTAATTTTGAGAGACTAATTACGTCCGGGGCATTACCGATAATCCCACGGCCAAACTGATCTCAGAAGAAATTGAAATAGCTCCCCTATACAAACGCTACGCATGCTGTGCGGTACTTTGCTTTTGGTGTGCTGTGTTGCTGTGGCGAGGGAGGGATGGCGGGGGTGAGAAGAAGGAGGGAGGATAACAGGCGTGAGGGATGAAGAGAAAGAGAGATATGACAGAAAATCGCTTGCACTCAGTCCCCTTCCTGCCTCTCCCGAGAGCTGCAGCACACACCCTCAGCACTCTGCGCTCCCGCTGCCCGCCTGGATGAGATCTTCACAGTTTTTGTCCTCGTGTGTATGTGTGAAAATTATCCTCCTCTCTTCTCACTTTCCCCGTCCATCTTTTTTCTCTCTCTCTCTCTCTCTCTCTCTCAGATTTATTACTCATTCCGTGTGTGAGTGAACATATCTCGACTCACGTGCTCCGTCTATTCATCTCTCTCCCTCCTTCTCTCGGTGGTGTATTATTTTATTGCCTCGCAGTTTTCAGATGTATCTATTTCTATATCTTTGTTTTCTTTGTTGCTGTGGATACTCCGACATCACTTTTTACTTACGTCTCTCTAGTACACCTTCTCTGTATCTCTTGTCTGCGTGGCCTCCTCTCTTGGCTGTTGTGCATCACACTCTGCATATACCCGTCGTCTCCCTCTGTCACACATTCCTGTCGAGCACAAGCGGGCGGCTGCTGAATTAAACATCTCAGACGGTGCACATGCTGAGCCCCTTTGCAGCGTCAGGGTGAGAACTGGACTCGGTTAGGGGGCTCTGGCCACACACAGTTTGTGAGTGTGTGTGTGTGTGTGTTGCTCAGTACTTGACACTGTATCACACTCAGCAGCGGGGGTTATCACATCTGTCTCCCTTCATGTTTTATCGTCGGTAGATGGAGTGGGAGCTACTTTCTTGCCACAGAAAGTTTCTCTTTGTCTTTCTTCCCCTCACACTCATTCTCATGCTCTGCACTGTCTCATCTCGCCTCTTCTCTTATGTTGTTTGATTTCACACCACATGTTGTTTTGAACCGGTTCCATTTTTTTATTTCATGATGTCCCACCTCTGAATATTTTGATGAAGTATAGGAGAGGAGATTAGCGGAAGTTACAACATTTGAGGAGAAAACTGGAGAACCTCCTGCTCGTTGTCCCCTTTCTTTCTTCTCCTCCTTCTCTCTCTTTTCCTTTCGAGTTGGAGCTGATAGATGTTGAGGAGCATTTACTTTTTCTCCAAGAAGTGCAACGAAGAAAAAGTAAAAAGTCGTCTGTGTACGTTCCTTCAACTCAGTTCACACATGGCGGTGAGTCTGCCGGAAATGCAATCCTACCAAGTGGACCGCGTCACCTCAATGCGTAGTTATATTTTGGGTAGGTGCACGTCAGGTGCACAAATACAAATGTGCGAGGATGAAAAAGAGTGGACATCGCTCTGTTCCCCTGAACCCTTCAACTTATCCTGTCTCCTTTACTTCGTCATTCTGTCACAGCAATGTCAATGAGTTAAAAGGATCATAGCAGATTGTCGTGTGTCCACAGTTGAAAACATCTGTGTCAACCATGTACAAAACATAATCTTCATTTTAACCGAGCTGAAAATCTCTTCACCAGCCAAGTTAGGGCTAAGCCACCGTATCAACCTTTGCTGTGGGTTGATTGAGTATAAAGATCAAGCCGACATCCATCCAGCGGTGAACTCCCTGTCCCCCGATCTCTGCCGCCCTGGCTCTGCTCTCATCTCCACTATTCATTGGGTTTTTATCTTGCCAGCTTTGCTATGACCAGCGTCAGCACTGCAGAAAATTATGTGCACTTCTGTTACACTGATTTACTGTGGCAGCCCTTCAGAGTTCAGGGGGTCTATTTCAGGTCAAAGTAGAAGGCTGGAAGAAATCTGTGCATTTGGACGACCACAGTGTAAAGAGGGGAATAATATATGTGAGAAAAACGAGACGAAAGTAACAGAAGTATAGTGGTTCTTCAAGGTATAAGTAGTATTTGCACCTAAAGCTGTATAAATGAATATCTTTAAATAAATAGGGTAACATGACTGTGTAATATTCACTTCAATTTATGAATCCAATGACCAGAACATCGCAAAATGCTACATGACGTGTAAACAAACAACCGTTTGCTACCAAAGACTGCAATGTGACTTGATCACCCTCCGGTAGGTGACCTCTGTATTGGTCTTAAATCCCAACCTACTCCATGTTAATGGATTGGACACAAAGATTAAGCTTTTCCTGTAAATTCAGTTTAATTATTTTGACGCTTTAAGAAGCACATGTATCAATACTCCATCCGTTCATCACTGTTTTAGCTTCATTTCTATATAGTGAGATGAGGTGGAGACACGTCATCCATCTTTATACGCAGTCTGTGATTTTGCCATATATACAGTAAAGGTTGTGGGTTTTTTACATTGTATACAAATATATAGTTTCATATTTTTAATATAGTCTCATAGAACAGCTTCATTTAGGACTTTTTTCAGCTGCAAATTTAGTTCCCACAATAAGTCAAATTAAACTCATATTAATTGGAAAGAAGAAATTTTGTCATCCGGAACAATAGCGTGACTCATTCATGTGTTCTCTGTTGGTCTGTGACACCAGGATCTAAATATATCAGCCTCTGTTTATTCAGGCGATACCATGTGTTTCATGTGATTTGTTGATATTCCTCTCAGAACATGTTTTATGTAATAATACAGAACACGCTGGCTGGTTTTCATTGCACTGGCAGATGCTTAATAGGGACATAATATGTAATGTGATTCTCATCACGGTAATCAAATAAAGGAAGTTTCACACTTTTATAAAGCTTATTATCTTTGATATATTTCTTTGCTTCACATCCACAAGAGACACTAACATTGTGTTTTCTTCATCTTCATCGTTTTTATTCCTTCCATAATTCCCTACTCTTCTTCTTTTTACTGCTTTCAGAAATTGGGCGTAACCTCTCAGCCTTGTGGTTCTTATCTTTCTCCGTTTCTTCATCTGATGTATTCATATTTTTTTTAAAAATGCCTTGTGGAGAAATGTTTTGCGGTCAGCCTCCCCGTGGCGACGGCGCAGTCACTTAGCTGAGCAGGCTTCGGCGGGGATGCTTCAGGCCCGCAGACACCCGCTGCCCAGTGACTTTTCCCAGCACCTCTCACAGCTGTGCACTGCGTCGCTCGACATCAAGGGGAAGCTGGGGTTCTCACCACTATGTTTGTGTGTCAGGCACAATTATACCTCTGACGGGAGAAGGAGGAAAAAGAGAGCGCACATGGTAAACCTTTTCACCCTGAGGCTGCGTGTGTGTGAGTGAGATCCTGAGTCAATGTTTATAGGTGTTTTTAAAGCCTGCCCATGTGTCTGTGAAAATGTGCTCCACAGGTAGGGAGAAAAATTAATCTCCCCCCTCCGCTGCTCCCTACTTTCAGCTGTGATGGAACAGGCTGGAGCCCCTACCGGCGAGCCAGGACCTGGGGGCCTCCAGCCAGCAGGCGCCACTGAGGATGGAGGGGTGCTGTGAACTTGCTCGTTACACAGCCCTGCACTCGACTCTAATGATATCTGCCGGCACGTTTCCTCCC